TCTATTATTTCATTTCTTCACAGCACAGCTAAATATAAAATCGAATCATGTCAACAAGTACTATGTAACGCCATTCAACGACAACGAACGAATATGAACTGTTAGCTTAAACGGGCTTCGTTTAGAACCACAGAATATATAGATATAATTCTTGAATATAATCTATTTATTCAGGTTCTGCTGTTATAAATTTCCAAAAAATCAGGATGATTCAAGATGAAATATTACAAAGTTATGATGAAAAAACTCAATCAAAACGGTAGTAAAGAAAAAGAATGACACGTCGATGAAAAGTTTTTCCGTGACAATTCACCAAATGATCAGCGTAAAAACAATTCCATCCAATTCTGTTTTATAAATACGGAACAATCACAAAGTACATGTTTATAAAAGCACATGTAATGTGGCACTCACTTTTGCTTTTTCAACTACACTTGATATAATTTTATTGCTTGCTATCCAATTCCAAATGCCAGGCATACTCGTTTGTTGTTGCTGTTGCAACTGCTGCTGTCTTAGGTCAGTCCCATCACTAATCGAATATTGCCATGGAGCTGTTGGATTATATTCAGTAGCTATAAATAATCAACAATTATTATATACAAACATTTTTTGAGTTGTGTATTATTTCACATAATAAGTTTTACCTGGAGGTTGATACATCGGCGTGAAAGCGTTTGGCTCTGAAGCATTTGTTGTCCTAGAAAAAATACAACAATGTTCTTTAATAAATGACAATGTAAAACAAAATAAAATAACTAATCTAGAATATTGAGCATAAAAAGAAGTGACGTAACGAGCAGGTAGTAGGCAGTAAATTCAAGATGCATTACGATCTTTTCGTAGGCTACTGGTTCCAGGTGTTTTAATTTTATTATGCTGGTTTTGTCTTATCTTTAATGCATAATCAAAGCGTCAGAGGTGGGCAACCCCGGGCAGGTACAACTCCAACTTGGAATCTATTCGTTCTTTTTCCTTCAGCGAGATGTGAGATGTATCGTATGTTACTATATGCTTGCAAACGTTTATAGCTCTTGCGACAAAAATAGATAAAAACCAAACAAAAATAATTCCCGCCATAAAAAGAAAATGATGTTGAAGAAATTTTGAATCGGAGTTTCGGAATTGACAGAATCTGCCATCAGCTCAACTTCGGTCGTTTTAAGACCAAACCACAACTCAAAAAAAAAACGCTCAACTCTGTAGTTGAGTTGTCCAGCTCTGCAAAACGTGTTTAAACTCAATTAACAAAGTATAACCCTGTAAAATACAAAGTATGCCCTACTGTAAGTACGGATTAACATTCACAGGCTGAGAAGGCACGAAATGTTGCTGTTGTGGCGGTTGATGTGGTACGAGATTAGACGTTGGATGCTGTTGTTGGTGATGAATATGTGTCGTCATGCCTGGATATATTCTTTCAGTCAATGATGCACGCGCAGAAAAAGGATTTGCAGGTGACCCTGTAAAAACATAGAAGCGAAAATTAATCTCTTGTTTTTGAAATACCGAATTTTATTTACCTGTTGTCTGCTGTAGTGAAGGAGCATGAGATTGCATTTGCGTTGTTGAATTATCAACGATTGGTACTGATGAAGAAGTGGATACAAGTGGAGGAAGAGGAGCAAAAATACTTTCAGCTGTAGTAATAGGTGCCATAAACGTAGTGTTATTTTCAGGCATTGAAGATACATTGTTAAATGGAGCAGCAGACATCGTAACTGGCGTAGGAAATACCGTATTAGTGAACGAAGGTGACGTCGTTGACGGAGGTGCTGCGACAGTGTCGAACGATAGTGCTACAGGCTTAAAAATTGATGGTGTTTGAGATTTCATCTCTGAATGATTTAATTGCGAAATATTCTGCGCGGAGGTTGAGGAAGACACATTTCTAGTGTTTTCGGGTTGCTGTGTGGATCTAAATGGAGGTGTAGATGGCATGGTTGGAGCGCGAAGAATGTTTTGCTCTCCAACACTGAATTTAGACGATGATGGTTGTAACGGTGTAAACGCTGAATTACCAGTAAATAATGGTGTCGTTGTTGATTCATTTGACAGTGGTCGAAACGAGTTTAGGCCACTAATTGATGAGCTTGTAATTCCTGACGATTTTAATGTAACTGGCGATGATGGTAATCGCGAACTTGTGGGTTGCACCAATAATGGATTGTGCAAGCTAGTCATTGATGATGGAGGCATTAATAGAGGATTTACTTTGTTTTCACTTTTGAATATATTTGAAGGCGGTATAGCCGCACTGCTCAGCGGCATATTAGATTGTGAAAACAACAATGGTGAAGAATTCCCGCCTGTAGTTTTATCGGACAAGTGCATCGATTTCAATGCTGGCAGAACTAAATAGAAGAAACACATAGATGTTTAGATGTACACAGCGGCGTATTTCTTTCTTACCACTTTTTACATCTGTTGTAGCGGCATCATGTAATTCACTGGTTACTTGCTGCTCATCATGAACTGGTGGCATAGATGTTGCGATAGGAACCACTGTATTCGATGACAAATCATCTGCAGAATCAGAAAGAGCTATATTTTCCATCTGAAGAAAAATCAAACAACAAAAGCGAAACTTTCACATTAGAAAGTTTTAAAAAGAGATCATTCTATCTAAGAAGGTCTTCATTTTTCTTTAATAAGGTCTGAATCTAATAATAGACAAACAAATCCAAACGATTTGTAAAAATCACACAAGTTGAAGTAAAATGTTTTCATTCTTCGCTGAACCCTGTCAAAACTCAAAACATACATTTTTCATCCGGCGCGTAAGCACAAAGTATTTTCAGTTTAGATACACTTTGATTCTGCTTTCGCTATACGTAAAAAATCGTCAGAAACAAAATAAAAACACTGAAATATATATAACTAAATAGATCGACCTTAGTTAACGATAGTCAACAGGCGATTCTGACTGACTGAAATAAATAGCCAATAAAAAGAATTAACTATTGATGTCGCGACAATTTAGATTCGCGAAATCAGGAAATTAATTGAAAAGGAAATGAACTTTAAGTTAAAAACATTTGCATGCAAACTAATAGATCTTCGTGCTCATTATGAAACGAACGATTTTCTTGAGCAGGTAAATGATTTAAGTGATTTGATATCATTTAACGATATCATTTAAGTTCTACTGATCTTCGATCACCATTATAATGACTTTCACCGCAAATTTGAATCTCATTTAAAAGAGTGTTGAATTCTAAGTAAGAAAATGTTCTTCAAAAACTTTTAAAACAACGGGCGCAGTGTCGGGGACGAAGCCGACATTTTCAATTTTTACCGAAAATCCCGCCTGAATCAGGCATTTCTCCCATAACCATACGTGGTCACATGTTGCTATTAACATCACATATTTGATGTCAAGCTCTTTTTAAAATACCACCGGTTACTGGCGGTTCAACAAATTACCGCATGGTTAACCGTACCAACGATAATTTATTAGATCGCAGTACAGAAAAATGCCGCAGGGTAACCGTTTTTATACATTCTTTACAAATTTTGTTTTCCACCCGTTAGTACATATAAGAGGGACAGGAAAATTCAAAAAACTTGACTTTTTCTTTCAGATTAAACTTTTCTTTTAGATCATATAGATTCGTGGAAGTCTGAACTTCGACTCGAGACAAATTTGTGTCAATCGGGAGCCTCTTTTCGCTTACAATCGCTCACCAGAAAAAAGAAAGAAAGTTGAAAACCAGATTCGAACTCGCGTTCTACTTGTTCATAATGACAAAATACCGGACGGTACCGCTGGTTATACCGGCGGTAAATCGACGGGTGACTGCAGTTACCGTGCGGTAATTTCGATTTTTCTACTAGTATAGCTGCCGGGGTATTGAACGGTGTCCGAGCAATAACCGGGCGGTCTGTTTTCGGCTTTGAGGACATGACGTTTTACTAACCAGCACTGCCAAATTGACATATGTAAGAAAATTTCATTATATTCATTTAAGGGAGTAGCCAGGGTTGCCAGATGTTCCTCATAAGGGGAACAATCCCACATTTAAAGACCTGTCCCCCGCGAAAATCTGTCCTCCAGGATGTCCTCTTTTTCAAGGATATTTTCTTTTGGCCGTCTTCGATGGACTTTTCACTTTTGTATTGCGCTTCCAGTTTAACAGATCTTTAGCGTTTAGTAATTTTCAATAATTTTTTTTCAATGTTTCGATGGGAAAAGAAGATCTGATTTTGAGCCATTTTCACGCAGTTTTTCAAGTGTTACTTCTTTTTTTAAACCGTTCTTCTCTAGTCAGTGCAGAACGGACAAATTTTTATTGGGGAGGGCAATTGCCCCTTATTGCCCCGCCACTGAAGACGAAGGGGAAAAAGTTCAAAGATCTTTCAACTAAATCATTAACTTCGTAAACAATAAGAGCATTAATCACGAAAATTAGAATGAATACAAGTTTAACGTGCAATAATTTTCATGATTATGATTATGATCTATGATTTTGGATAACAAAGGCAAAAACCTGTATAATGCAAACTACCTATCCTTTTATCTTTTTTTCCGTCTTAAATAAGCACTTTTTCGTGACATATGCTCGCACATGTGCCGAATGACATCGACACATGTATATTTGGACTCTCCAAGTCTTGAGGTTTCATTTGAAATACTACAAGATTATATTTTGCGATGTTCGTTTTTCGTCATTTCCGGGGTACTTCCGGTCGCTCCAGTTAATCCATCTATGAATATGCTCCAAAACGCAAGTTAGTGTCAGATAGTCCAAGTGGTACAGTATCCGACTGACCATGTCGATTTATATAACAAGTGCCTTCGGACATAAAATTGAATTTTTAAAATGCTCCATTTTCATTTTCTCTGAACGTAGAGATGGCCTACACCCTTAGTGAGCTATCTTTTTCAAATTACAGCTATAAATTTGAGTAGAGCCATACGTGTTCTGTACAGTGAAACTCGTGTTTAGTCAAATACTTCTACTTTTCACAGAAAAATTTAGTCAAAAGGTACGACCATTATTAATATTTTCCAATTTTGCAGATACGATTTCGCACATGTGCGAAGGTCGAATCCACACATGTTTTTGGATACAGGTAGTATACGACCTATACTACATATGCTGCAAGTACGAACTCTAGCTCTACTGCGCAGACCGAAATATGACCCCTGTAAAATGCAGTTTTCGACACATACTGTTTTTAGCGCTTTTACGAAAAATGCTGTAAGTCCAAAAGGAAGCATCTGGTCAAAAAATTTTGGGAATCTTTCTAAATATATTGCCTCTACTACCCATAGGAATTTGAACCAAAAGTTCCAACATCGATTGAGCAGCACATAAGGAAATCGGTCGTTCTTTCCGTGCAATGGCTCTTACGTCCCTCTTTTCCCAAAATTTGTTCCCCTTTACTTTTTTTTAGTTGGCATCCATGGGAGCAGCACACATTCTAAGCTTCCTCAAATGACGATAAAGTAAGCAATATTTTTAAACACGATAATAAAAGCAGAATTAGACGGAAATATGTACATTAGAATCAACTTTCCAAGTCCTATAAAGGGGTATACTTTTTATTTGTTCAAACTGCCAGTCGTGCTTAGCGGTGGACAAAGTTTGAAGGCTATTCTTGTAAAAGTACCAATTTTCAATAAGTTTCAATCTTCACCACATATCGCCTCCCTAACTCTTCTTTCGAATACTGCTTAGTAGCACAAAGCTAGTACTGTCTCTGGTAACAACTCTGGAGATAGAAGTTTTTCGGTTTTCGAGAAATCCTTATTGGAGTCCTGCAAGTTTTTGAGAAGTATTTTCACTATGTCTCAGTTGTTATTTCTTGAATAAAAAAATCTCATCGAGAATTTGCAGTCCTTAGACATTTTTCAAACAAGTTTTTTTCTTCCCAAAATTTAATTTCTGGCAACCTATACAAAGAGCGTCACATTGGTCAAAAACGTTTTGGGAAGAAAAGAGTTTTGTTTTGAAAAATGCCTGAGGCCGAAAATTCTCGATCAAATTATTTTATTCTAGAAACATTTGACAGATATGTCATTCGATCATTAGGATTTTCGATAAAATCGAAAATGTCGGCTTCCCCTCCCCGACACTGCGCCCATTGTTTTAAAAGGTTTTGAAGAATATCTTCTTACTCAGAACCCATGCTATCAATACCGGCAAAATACCGCTCGGTTACCACCCAATATATTCTCGAAATCACCGCACGGTTTACGGAATCGTCCGGTATTTTCTCATTATGTACACGTAGAACACGAGTTCGAAACAGTACACGTAGAACAGAGTCCAACTTTCTTTTTTTTTGTTATTATCAACCGCTTAAGTGCATGAAGGCTCCTAGTATTCTAAAAAAACGCCTCGCGAACTTCCTGCCTCGTCATCGCCCCCTACCTCGCCAAGTTTCGATAAATGTACTTTCCGGGGATCGCTCCGTATTCTTTCTGCACCATCACCACCTCATCCATCGTCAACTCTTGATAAAATTTTCCTCTGATACTTCCTCATCGATCTTCCTAAGTCCGGAAAACCTCTGCCAACATAAGCTGTTCATTGTTTTATCTTGGTTCACAAGAAGAACCGTCACCTCTATTATAACAATAAATCAAAATAAACAGAACACCGTTTGCTCCCAAGAAAAAATGTCCTTCGCGGGGTTCGCATCGTGAAGTTCTTGTCTCGTCATCGCCCCGTGCCCTGTCAAGCTTTCAAAAAATCTTCCTCGCGAGATCCGCCCCGTGAAGAATCGCGGAATCTCGCGAGGATCCTTGTCCATCGCCCACTTCTGGTGGACACCTCGAAGGAGGCTGTTGTTTTCGTTTTGTGCATATAGTATATAATTCGAGATTCATTTACCGAAAACTTTTCAAAGTTTTTGTGACTTTAGCATTTGATTCCCAAACTGTTCGACATAAGCTAGTCTCGATCTTTACTACTCTTACGACGGAACATATTTGAGTGTCCCCTTGGGAATGAGATAAAAAATATGCTGTATTGTAGAGATTTTGCGCTGATCACGAATAACAATATCTTAGCTGCGCTCGTTACAATCCGAAAAAATCGAAATTTCACATTTTTGTCGGGATCCTGCGGGAGTCAGGTGGGACTTTCAGGAGATTTCTAAGGATTCCTGATTACTCGCTGAGGACTCCTGTGGGACTTTGAGGACTTTCGAGTCTTGCTAGAGTCCAAAGAAAGTTCTCAAAGTCCTATGGGAGTCCTTAGGAGTCCCTTGAAAGTCCCATCTGACTCTCACAGGACCCCTTGACAGGAGTCCAGTGGGAGTTTTGTCGGAGTCTCGACTAGGGAGTAGATATTCTATTCTTGCCGAGGGATACTGCCAAAAGTTTAGGAAAAATTATGAGCCTAATATTACTTTCCCATGAGATTTTTTTTCGCCATTTTGTTTGAAAATTTTTTCTAAACTTTTAGCAGTATCCTTCGCAAAAATTATCAAATCTATCGGGTTATCGATCGTGCTGAATACGAAAGACCACTTTTCCACAACTTGAAATGAACTTTTTCTTCACGTTGATATAGTTTTCTAAAATACTATATGATAAAAACTTTTTAAAGATTATGAACGTTTTTTCAAGGAACAGTTTTTCAGTGAGTTAGATTGAGATACATCAACATGTTGAAACGTGGAAGTGCTAGAGAAATGCAGAAGATACATAGTGAAATAATGCAAAAATATAGCAGAGACATTAATGCTCTCTATTTGGCTTTTCGCCTATTGGACAAAAATTCCAGCAGTAGTAGAATCAAAGAAAATAATTGTCGCATGTTCGTTTGCACTATCAAAGAGGAGTGCATGTGTTCTTTGTTTTCAACATAATACGTCAAGTGTGTTAAAGACAGATGAAGTGTGTTTTTTCAATATTTCATTTTCAGAGTGGGCTTCTGTATCCTTCAAGAAAATAACAATTTTTTGAAAAAATGAGAACAAAACGTTACGCAAAGTAGCCTAATACAAACCTGTTCTCTGCATGTTGAATCATTTTAAATTCTATGAATAATTCTCTAAGCTGTTTAACAAGTCTGCCTCTGTCGATTATAATAGCACCTCCAATTCCTAACTAAATAGTCATAAAAGGGTCTTTTATCGTTCTGACTTGAATATAAGAGTCGTCTGTCTTCATTTTTTTCTTCATAAGTAAACCATACATAATCTTGCTTTTCCTAAATTTTTATTTGGACAAAAATGTTCTCTTCATTGTTTCATGGGATTTTACGTTTATCATTAATCAATGGTGATTTGTCTATTTCAGTTAACAAAGTGGCAAATACAAGAGGCGTGCTCAGATTTCGAAAATTGTTGTTTTGTTATTGTCCATTTCTCGTTTTCAATTCAGTTTATCGTACTTGAAATTTTCTATTTAGTAGTAGAATATTTGAAGCTTTGGATATTGACTATATGATCAAAATTTTTTAGTTTAGTATCGCTTTGCAGAAGAACCTTACTACAAGAACTGAAATCTTTTTTGATTAAGTAAGACTTTGCTTAAAAGCTGAAAAAAAGTTTATTGAAGAAAAATCTGTAGAGAGTATTTCTTAGAGAACAACGTAACAAGAAAAAAGCAGATATCACATGAGATACTAAAGTTCTAAATACCTCTCAATATCAAAATCTTCTCGTAATTCGGAAAAAGAGTGTGTTGCCCTGCCTTTACTCTACGAGTTGATCTGCTTAGGAACGAAAATTGTCATCCATTTTCATAAGGATACAAACTATCAGGCAGGCAGTACTTAAATTTCTTGCTCCTTTTAATAGAACGTTTAGTTTTTTACTGGTCAAGTTTTTGTTTATTTCTTTCTTTAAAAATATATCAAACATATTCATATTTGAGAAATATAAATCGGTTTGAGGAAAAACAAGACAAACTTATTTTTTGTGTTCTACATTTTCGTATGTACTGACGTGAAAACTGTTTTTAATTTTCTGTTTTTGTTGTACTTTAATAATCAAAATGAGATTCATGTTTTAGCTACTTTGAGTGTGAATCTTTTGTTAGTCTTTTCTATATCTATGCGAAAGGAATTATTGTCAAATTTTTTTTCCCAAGTATTCCATTTTTCTCTACGTTATACTTTCTTTCTGAAGCTGTTTAGTTTGATTTAGACAACAAGTTGAACTTACCTTAAAAGAAACGTTAGCATAGGCGGAAAAAATCAGTATTCTCAAAAAAAAAACAGATGTAGAATGAAAAAGTTCTTCGCGGTAGATCCTTCTCACGCCGACACATGTTGGCCGTTGCCATTGAGGGCCTGAAAAATTCTTTTTAGTTCTACCTATGATTTGACCAATGATTCTTTGGTCACTAAGGTGGAGCTGAGCATTTTTTCTTTAAAGTAGTGGAGTAGAGTTCAATTATATAGAATAAACGGTTTTCAGCTGTTGTTTCATATCAGTTTTATAGGGTTTGAAATATGCGCGGATCTTTTTCTTAATGGGAGAAAATTATGCACATCATTTAAAAATGACTTTGGATAAATTCAGAGCACACTTCAAGTGTGGTTATTGTTGGAGGACGATCTGCTTTATGAATACATTGAAGTATGTTTTGAACTCATCCAAAGCCATTTTTTGTATAAAACGTGTAATTTTCTCCCTTGTCCTCATTGTTGACAAGTACCCAAAGGGTAAAAAGCACATTCCGGAATGGGTACAAAATTTCCGGAATGCTCTTCTAGAGTGGTGGATTGCCATTCTCGAATAAAAGAAATTTTTTCAATTTCTACATATGGTTAAGCTCGGCTTCTAAAAAATGGAGTGCCATTCGGGAATGGTAGAATGGCATTCCAGAAAAGACGTATTCTAGAATGAGTACATTTGCCTTGTAGTGCTTTTTCCTCCTTGTAAGTACCACAGTTAATTAATTTGAATTTCAATCATGTGAAACGACATTTTGAGCTTCTAATGTCGCAGAGTTCTATATTTTCTCTTTATACATAATTTTCAGATGTCTAATAATGAACAACGTGGAAAAATCTATGGTGCCGATGTGACAGAGCGCAACGCAAGATTACTTCGTGTCAGAGTGTTTCGTGCTAGTGATTTACAACGAAAAGATTTATTTGGTTCATCACCGGGAGATCCTTACGTAAAAATATCATTACAAACACCGGATAATCGGGGACAAACGGTCGACATTGTACGAAAAATTTTTTTCCACAGCTTTATGAGAAATGTGACATGTTTGCATTTATAGGCCCGAACAAGCACTGTACCCAAAACACTCAATCCTTATTGGAATCAAGAGTTTATATTTCGAGTATGCAAGAATAGGAACTCATTATTGCATTTATAGAGTAGTTTGTATTACTAAAAATTGTTTGCGTTTATTTGGCACAAACTCTCTAAAAATTGTCTCAATGAAAAGATGTATGAAGGTCACTGGTTGCTGTTCATTTAGGTTGATCCAACAAAACATCGCCTGGTATTTGAAATATTCGATCAAAATAAAGTGGTATATGAAAATACACTGTACTTTTTGAGAAACGTATGACTGAGAATATCATTCTCTTTTACAGACCAAAGATGAGTTTCTTGGAATGTGTTATGCTGAACTTAATAACAACATACCAGTCGAAATACCCGATGTTCCAATCGTAGCAAAAGAATATCAGCTATTGAAAAGAAGGTATGTGTGTCTCTAATTGTGTTCGTTTGCTCTCACATTATTTATTTTAGCGTTCTTCAACGTGTTCGTGGCAATGTTATGATTGGTTTACAATATATCAGTCCAAATGCTCCAAGACAAAATGCTGAAGCTGAAAGTCCCACAATTGAAGTAATGTAGTGATAGTTTTATTATGACGTCGAATGTTTTCATTTTTTCTTCCCATTAATAATAGTCTGGCTTTGAGTTCATAAATCGCAATGATTTAGTTGAAAATAATGTACCACCTCTTCCACCAGGTTGGGAAGAACGAAAAGATGCACAACAGCGCACATACTATGTGGGTAAGTATCTTTACTTTCGAGTATTGTTCTATTCTATGGCAGTAACTTCTTTTGTTAGATCACAATACGAGGTCAACTACTTGGTTTAGGCCAAATCGAAAGTAAGAAGTTTTGCACCCTTCTTATTTCTTATGTATAACATAAATTATTGTCTAATTTTAGTCCTAATGTACCGCCAGTACCACAAAGACCTGACATTGGTTTTCGTAGACAAATTGACGACATAGACGTACGAAACAGAATTTTTCCCACATGTATTAATATAAATTTTTGAAACTTTTTATAGACTAATCGTGCTAATGCTCCACAGCCTTCTGCAACTCCCGATGCAAGCCCAATGACAACTCGTGGTGCTGCAGTCGACGATCTTGGACCTATGCCGCCGGGTATTTTTTTATTATTTAATAAAAATTTTCATAATAACGTTTCTATTCTCTGTCTTACCTTGATAGGCTGGCAAATATCTAAAAGTGGAACTGACCGAGTGTTTTTTATTGATCATATAAATAAATGTACAACCTGGGTAAGTTTTCTTACAATTCATACCGTTATTTAGATCAGTTTTATGATTGATTGCATCGAAGAAATTCATTTTCTTTCTATTAGATTGATCCGCGTACTGGTAAACCATCGCCTGTGGTAAGCCACCAGCCAACATCTGAACTTCCGGTAGGATATTTTTGTTTATCTCTGAGCTGTAAGTTAAATGACTAAGAGATTTGCATTATGAAGATATTTTGGTATTTCTAGAAAAATTGGGAAATGCGCACAATGCCCGATGGTCGCGTATACTACATTGATCATGGTAAGTTACTGAAGTTTGCTTGCTGTATTAAAATACAATGTCACTTTTGTCTTCAGAAACAAGAACGACAACTTGGATAGATCCACGTGTAGCAGGACCAGTAGGCAATATTGTTTTGCTCAACATTTTCAACAATTCGTTGTCAATATAAACATTTAGGCTGTCCCGTACTCAAGAGATTATCAATCGAAATATCAACAACTAAAACGTACTTTACCAAAACCAAAAGTATGTGTTCAACTTATTATCGTGTTAATGTACCATTTTCTTTCGTTTCTTCAGCCTTATGTGGGTAATCAATTTGAAATTCATGTTAGTCGTAAAGAAATATTAGAAACATCGTTTCGTTCAATAATGGTTGTCAAAGATGTTGAAGTATTTAAAGCACGGTTGGTATTCTAAAAGCAATCTTTTGAGTTTTCATATTTAAATATTCATAAAAATAATAATTTTTTCTAAATTTAGATTGTGGGTTATTTTCGATGGTGAACGTGGCTTGGATTATGGTGGATTGAGTCGTGAATGGTTTTTATTATTATCGCGTGAAATGTTTAATCCTTACTACGGATTATTTGAATATAGTGCCATGTAACCATTAAATCAATAAAAATTACAAAACACAAGCTCATCCTTTTTTTTTCTAGTGATAATTATACGTTACAAGTCAATTCAGCATCGGGTTTATTAAATGAAGATCACATCAAATATTTTCGTTTTATTGGAAGAATTATTGGAATGGCTGTTTATCATGGAAAATTGCTTGAAGGTAACAATCTACTTAATATTTCTCAAAAGCAAATATCGTTCATTTTTTTTCTCTTCTTATTTAGCATTCTTTATTCGTCCATTTTATAAAATGTTACTTGGTAAATCTATTACTTTAATGGACATGGAAACTGTTGATCGTGAATATTATCAGTCACTAAAATATATTGTTGAAAATGATCCAACCGATTTAGATTTATATTTTGTCGTTAATGAAGAAATACTGGGCGATGTGAGTTCGTTCATTCTTCTGATTTTTATAGATAATTTTTATTTAATATATGTTGTAGCTTCGTGAACAAGAGTTAAAACCAAATGGACAGCACATACAAGTAACAGAACAAAATAAACATGAATATGTCGAGTAAATTATGATCAGTAAAACGTAAATGTACGAAGATATGTATGTAATTTCGTCTTTCTTTTTTAGACTTGTTATTCATTACCGCTTTGTCAGACGAGTGGAAGCACAAATGAACGCGTTAAAACAAGGCTTTCAAGATATTATACCATTAGACACAATTAAAATATTTGATGAAAAAGAGGTTGAAGTAAGTCATGTGTGTTTAATTGCGCAAATAAGAAGAATCTAGTTCATTTATATTATGCATGATTTTAGTTACTCATCAGTGGACTGGGTGAGATAAATCTGAATGATTGGAGGACACATACAATGTACAAAGGAGGTTATACACCAGACAATCCCGTTATTCAATGGTTTTGGCAGGTAGATCATGCATTACTAATAGCATATTCTTATTTTACATTTTTCATTTTCCAATTTATTTTTTAAGGCGCTTTCCACATTTAATATGGAAGAACGCGTAAGTTTTACTGTTAAAAAATAATTTCAAACAAACTTCAGATTGATATATAGTTCAGATTCTTTCTGATGACTGTGACATAGTGAGAAAACTAATATGTAGTATCGTGTGTTCTTTCTACTTTCTTTTAGACACGTCTACTGCAATTTGTCACTGGCACATCACGTTTACCTATGAATGGATTTAGAGAATTGTGGGGTTCATCTGGTCCACAATTATTTACAATTGAGAAATGGGGTGATAAAACAAAACTTCCACGTGCACATACATGGTATATAAAAGTATTTGATATTTTTCTAAAGAAAATTGTAAAGTAACATAAAATATCAAGAAACAAATTTTCATTTTGTATCAAATTATACTTTTAATACATAATTTTTAGAATTAAGTTCAATCATTATTTTGTTTTCTTCTAGTTTTAATCGTATAGATTTACCACCATATGATAACTATAAAGATCTTCAACAGAAATTGATACAAGCAATGGAAATGTCGGAAGCATTTGAAGGTGTTGACTAAAATACTAAAAGAGACAATTTTTGTTATTTTTATTTGTTTACTAGTGTCTTTCTTCATCATGCGCACGTTTTTATAAATATAAATTTTTCTTCTTATATGTACAAAATAATATCAGAGCCAGAAGAAACGATGTGTATATCTATTATTTGTTTGTTACGTAATTATTTTTAACTTGTTCTTTATTTTTAAAACAAATGAAGAGGATGTAGTCTAATCCAGCTTAGCAAAATAAGTGTGTATGTCCACCGCAAACTCAACTCTACTTTTTAGTTACTTTTTTCTTTCCTGTATGTGTATTTATATTTCCATGTCTGTGTACAGTGATTTATTTCAAGCAAACATTTTTACTTGTCCCTCTTGTTGATTAATTTCATGTATAATCGATCCATTTTTCAGGCTTTAAAAAACATGTTTAAACATTTTTTTAAGTTGATTTTTTTTTTTTTTTGTCCCTCTATCAATGAATGAGTTTTATTCATCAGACTACAAAATAAGAATAAAGTTGGTTGGTTCTTTGTTATACCTCACAAGTTTTATTTTGCGTTATTAGCTCATTAAATTTATTGTGTGCTTGTTAACGTTTTTTTTCTTTTTCTCTTACAAAAGATGAAGCGATATTCTTAATCTATGTCTGTCTTTTTTAAAATTCTTATTTGCTTCGCTTACTTATTGTATTTAATTTATATAGACATGTGAATTTGAGAGAATAAAGAAACGGAGAGGATGAGTGACTGAACATCAAGTTTTAAATTATATAGACTTGTGTACATTTTCTTAATGAAGAGAGAAGAACATTATCTTACCTTTAACAATGTGGATAAATAGATAGGTAAATTTAAAGGCTAGTAGAAAATGTCATAAAGGAAAAAGAATGAAGATAGTCTGTCATATGTCATAAAGTGAAAAGTTATGCATCTTTTTATGACTTTATTTAAATGTATTATAATAGGCGAAACACTGAGCAAGAATGTAGTATCGGTTTGAGGTGATCTTCATAAATAATTACAAAAGAAATGAGCTGGTCATCATTTTTTAGATTATTGGCTGTCTGACCAATTGACGATTTTTATCATTCTCGTTCCATATGTGTGTTTCATAAAACAGTTTTCAATAGCAAAACTCACATGTATATTATATTAAACATAATTGAATATACTGTCAAATACGTTCACAGTTTCTCGACAATATTTAACACTTAATTTTTTTAGATATAAAAATTGTATTTGATGATTGTTGTTATTTCAAACTAATGAGTTTGTCCAAAGCAATTGCTTTTACCATTTTACCTCATCTAGGAGGTTTAATTGGCGGTTATATTACTCGATCATCGATCAAAGAATGGTAAGTAAGATACAATAAAATATCTCTATAAGATGTACACGTTCATTGTTTCCAGGTACGAAACACTCGATCGTCCGAATTGGCGACCTCCAAACTGGGCATTTCCTCCTGTATGGACGACTCTTTACACGTTTATGGGAATATCATCTTATTTAATCTGGCGTGATGGGATTGGGCAAGAGAGACAGATAGCACTTGCGCTTTACGGGTCACAACTATTATTAAACTGGCTATGGACACCGATCTTCTTTGGTCAACACAAACTTGGCTTGGTAAGATCAATACTCTGATAGTCTGACAAATAATTGTCTCTTTTTATTTTAGGCATGTGCTGAAATTACATTGTTACTCTTGAACATTGGTGGCTGTTTAATAACATTTTATCCAATAAATCAAGTAGCGTTTGGCTTAATGCTACCATATTTTGGCTGGGTGTCATTAGCTACAGCGTTAACCTATTCTATTTGGTTTAGAAATAAAGATAAAATAAGCGACCGTACTACAAGAAGACAAGACTAAGTAAGATTATTTCTGTTTCTTGTCAAATTCATTTTTAATAAGATTCTTTTTTGCATTGTGAGATTATCCGATGTTCGTGTATTTATTAAACGAATATGTCTCGTACGATTCGCGCTATCTTTGCTAGATTACTGATATAAAAAAGTTTTGTTCACATAACGCAACAGGAACTTATATAATTCTGGAAAATAGCACAATTGATTCCGTTTAACATAATCGTACAAACAATGCAAAAAGAAAGATCGTTGTTTATCAAAATTAAATTTTTTGTGCATAATTAATCACATTTCAAGAGAGAATTACTTCTGTTTCCAAAGATCGAAAGCACCAGTTTGACCTAATATAGTCCCTCTTGTCTGTTCCATTTTGCAATTACATGTGATAACGGTCTACTTCTGGGCATCACTATCACACTAACTACATGAATGCACACATATTCTTTCAATTCGTACTTACACGTAGTGCAGTTCCTACAAAAAAAAAAAGTTCAGTGCAGCACTGTTTAAAATCAGCGTCGCACCGGTACTTATGGCATTTCATCGGTCGCCGGAAAAAATTTATTCGGCATCAGTGGGCATCCAGGCGCAATCAGTGCCAATAAAAAGTCTTTTGCAGGAGTTGCTATTCTCTCGTTATCGGAGAACCACAATCTAAAATAGCACAGTGTGTATAAAGTGGTAGCCTTATGAGGTTAACCCTTTCGGGACGGGTGACGTTTTGAAACGTCAAAAATAGGAATAAGCCGTGTTTTCCAAAACTTTTTTTGAAGAAACGTCCCTCAAAATTCGATCATAATCAAATTTCAAATACATCATCTTATGCAGTTTTTGACGCTCTATCTTTTGATGTATAATACATTTGAATAATATTAGTTCTGAGTTAGAAATCTAAGTTTTTTCGAAAATTTCGGTCCTTCTCAGTAAAAGAGGGTTTTGAGTACGAGGACAGAATCGAAAGTCAAAAATGTTTTTGTCAGTAGATAGCTCTTGAAATTCTCTATCGAGACATTGCCATTTGAATTTTTTTGTCGAAAATCT